ACCTATTCCCACTTTTTGAAAATCAGGTAGAAAAAGATGATTTTGGGTGGGAATAGGTGGAATTTTTGTGTAAACAAATAATTAACTATGAAAACATAATTATAATTACTGTAGGGAGGTCAACATTACCGCTACATCGCCAAAAAATTCAACTCATTACCGCTACATTTTTTCAAAATTTTGACCGATCATTACCGCTACATTTTTCTGACTAAAAACAACTCATTACCGCTACATATCGAATGGTATGGTTATGAATATGAGTTCCAGAATCACTATATAGTGAAGTACAATTTCAATTTTAAATGTAACCAGAATCAGTTTATATATATATAGTTTATGTCTGTAGTCAAAATGCAATTACATGTACTGAACAACACTTGAACGTCATAGCTACTATTGAGAAGTTTGTAACAAATCGCCACAATGCAGTATTAGTTATCGATGGATATAAATTTATTAAAAATAAAACTTTTAAAACTAAAAAATGTGGATTAGATGGAAGATTTGAATCACGAATCAGGGGAAACATCTCTTATGTGTGTATATGTTGTACTCTAAATCAATCTGTACACGCATAAGCGACTGGATAACGAAAGAGGCAATGTAGCGGTAATGTATACTTTAAAATGTAGCGGTAATGTAACGTTTTCTGTAGCGGTAATGACTATGTAGCGGTAATGAAAATTTCGAAAATGTAGCGGTAATGATACGCACCCTTACTGTACAAACATTGATTAATAAACACCTATTGGAATAGAGGACAGGTATTTATTAAATTACAAATGAAATTTTTTACTAATATTTGAAAGAAAAAAAAAGATTTTTAATAGAATTAAATTATATTTTTTCTCCGTTAATTTTATCTCTCGAAAACCCACCTATTTTAATGCGTTTTTCAATATTTTTTTATCTTAAATTAAGATAATTAAGGTGCTTTTTCTTATAAGACATTATTATTTCAAAAATCCAAATAAATTATATTTTCTCATTGATCTATGTTTTCATTATTGTTTGTCTTAAAATGTACTAAATACAGGTAAATCTAAAGAGCAGTTGTAATTAATCTAGTTACTGTAAAAACAAATTAACTATCTAAACATCTATTGTTATTTGCAAGTGGGAATAGGTGGAATTGAAATTTTTAAAAAGTTGGAATAGTATCATGTTGTAAATTTTGAATTTACTAGGGGGAGGTTGTAAATGTTGCATTTACCTCCCCCTAGTAAATTCAAAATTTACAACATGATAATAGGTAGAAGACACCCCCAAAGTGTGAAAACAAGTACGTAATTAAGATATCACTATCCGTCACTCTACACACTGACAAGATCGATAATAATTCATAATATAATATTAACATTTCCAATGTCTTTGTCCGAGATAAAATTACCAATTGTAAATGTAATTTATTTCCTCATGAATGTCTTGGCGCGGTTCCAAAAAAACCACGTGCAGGGCGGGACAACACCTAGAGAGAAGCAGGCTTGGAGCCCGTGGATTGGCGGAATCAAAGCATGTAAATATAAGGAATAACTGTCAGATTTTTCGAATTCATGAAGATGACCAATGGATTGGCTTGTGTGATAATTTTTGCATAAACGCCTTCGGCGTTTATGCAAATTATCACACAAGCCAATCCATTGATCACTTCATGAATTCGAAAAATAAGACAGTTATTCCTTAAATATTAAAACATAGATTTGTACAGGTAGAGCCGTGAATGCTGTTTATAACAAATAGTATAGTCATGGATGTTGTTTATAGGACAAATGTACAGTCAGGGATGTTGTTCATAAGTCACAGGTACAGTCAGGGATGTTGTTTATAAGACACAGGTACAGTCAGGGATGTTGTTTATAAGTCACAGGTACAGTCAGGGATGTAGTATAAAGTGTGTATACTACACAGGTACAGTCAGAGATGTTGTTTATAAGTGACAGGTACAGTCAGGGATGTTGTTTATAAGTGACAGGTACAGTCAGGGATGTTGTTTATAAGACACAGGTACAGTCAGGGATGTAGTTTATAAGTGACAGGTACAGTCAGGGATGTTGTTTACAAGTGACAGGTACAGTCAGGGATGTTGTTTATAAGACACAGGTACAGTCAGGGATGTTCTTTATAAGACACAGGTACAGTCTGGGATGTTCTTTATAAGACACAGGTACAGTCAGGGATGTAGTATAAGGTGTGTATACTACCTAGGTACAGTCAGGGATGTTGTTTATAAGTGACAGGTACAGTCAGGGATGTTGTTTATAAGGCCCAGGTACAGTCAGGGATGTAGTATAAAGTGTGTATACTACACAGGTACAGTCAGGGATGTTGTTTATAAGACACAGGTACAGTCAGTGATGTTGTTTATAAGTAACAGGTACAGTCAGGGATGTTGTTTATACGTCACAGGTACAGTCAGGGATGTTGTATACAAGACAGGTACAGTCAGGGATGTTGTTTATAAGACACAGGTACAGTCAGGGATGTTGTTTATAAGACACAGGTACAGTCAGGGATGTAGTATAAAGTGTGTATACTACACAGGTACAGTCAGAGATGTTGTTTATAAGACACAGGTACAGTCAGGGATGTTGTTTATAAGACACAGGTACAGTCAGGAATGATGTTTATAAGACACAGGTACAGTCAGGGATGTTGTTTATAAGTCACAGGTACAGTCAGGGATGTTGTTTATAAGACACAGGTACAGTCAGGGATGTTGTTTATAAGACACAGGTACAGTCAGGGATGTTGTTTATAAGTGACAGGTACAGTGAGGGATGTTGTTTATAAGACACAGGTACAGTCAGGGATGTTGTTTTTAAGACACAGGTACAGTCAGAGATGTTGTTTATAAGTCACAGGTACAGTCAGGGATGTAGTATTAAGTGTGTATACTACACAGGTACAGTCAGGGATGTTGTTTATAGTGACAGGTACAGTCAGAGATGTTGTTTATAAGTCACAGGTACAGTCAGGGATGTTGTTTACAGTGACAGGTACAGTCAGGGATGTTGTTTATAAGACACAGGTACAGTCAGGGATGTAGTATAAAGTGTGTATACTACACAGGTACAGTCAGGGATGTTGTATAAAAGACACAGGTACAGTCAGGGATGTTGTTTATAAGACACAGGTACAGTCAGGGATGTTGTTTATAAGGCACAGGTACAGTCAGGTATGTAGTATAAAGTGTGTATACTACACAGGTACAGTCAGGGATGTTGTTTATAAGACACAGGTACAGTCAGGTATGTAGTATAAAGTGTGTATACTACACAGGTACAGTCAGGGATGTTGTTTATAAGTGACAGGTACAGTCAGGGATGTTGTTTATAAGGCACAGGTACAGTCAGGGATGTTGTTTATAAGACACAGGTACAGTCAGGGATGTTGTTTATAAGTGACAGGTACAGTCAGGGATGTTGTTTATAAGACACAGGTACAGTCAGGGATGTTGTTTTTAAGACACAGGTACAGTCAGAGATGTTGTTTATAAGTCACAGGTACAGTCAGGGATGTAGTATTAAGTGTGTATACTACACAGGTACAGTCAGGGATATTGTTTATAGTGACAGGTACAGTCAGGGATGTTGTTTATAAGACACAGGTACAGTCAGGGATGTAGTATAAAGTGTGTATACTACACAGGTACAGTCAGGGATGTTGTATATAAGACACAGGTACAGTCAGGGATGTTGTTTATAAGACACAGGTACAGTCAGGGATGTTGTTTATAAGGCACAGGTACAGTCAGGTATGTAGTATAAAGTGTGTATACTACACAGGTACAGTCAGGGATGTTGTTTATAAGACACAGGTACAGTCAGGGATGTTGTTTATAAGACACAGGTACAGTCAGGTATGTAGTATAAAGTGTGTATACTACACAGGTACAGTCAGGGATGTTGTTTTTAAGTCACAGGTACAGTCAGGGATGTTGTTTATAAGGCACAGGTACAGTCAGGGATGTTGTTTATAAGACACAGGTACAGTCAAGGATGTTGTTTATAAGTGACAGGTACAGTCAGGGATGTTGTTTATAAGACACAGGTACAGTCAGGGATGTTGTTTTTAAGACACAGGTACAGTCAGAGATGTTGTTTATAAGTCACAGGTACAGTCAGGGATGTAGTATTAAGTGTGTATACTACACAGGTACAGTCAGGGATGTTGTTTATAAGTGACAGGTACAGTCAGGGATGTTGTTTATAAGGCACAGGTACAGTCAGGGATGTTGTTTATAAGTAACAGGTACAGTCAGGGATGTTGTTTATAAGTGACAGGTACAGTCAGGGATGTTGTTTATAAGACACAGGTACAGTCAGGGATGTTGTTTTTAAGACACAGGTACAGTCAGAGATGTTGTTTATAAGTCACAGGTACAGTCAGGGATGTAGTATTAAGTGTGTATACTACACAGGTACAGTCAAGGATGTTGTTTATAAGTCACAGGTACAGTCAGGGATGTTGTTTATAAGTCACAGGTACAGTCAGGGATGTTGTTTATAAGTCACAGGTTCAGTGAGGGATGTTGTTTATAAGGTACAGGTGCGATCAGGGATGTAAAATAATTTGTCTATACAAGACAGGTTGCCAGTCAGGCATGAACGAGAATTTAGAAATTGTAGAGGACAGGTACAGTTGTGGAAGTTTCATCACAAGCAATATTAATTTAATAACGATTTCGAAAGTTATAAATATAATTATTTATATAGCACCGCATTTCCTTAAATATGAACAATGGTTTTTCTACGTACCACATACCATGTATTTTCAATCACAACGCGGTTATATATCGTCCAGTCAGGATGTCAATCATTTGTGGTTCCATGCATATTATATATATAATTTTTTTCTCTTTTTAGAATTTTTTCTGATTTTCTTGTAACCGATTTTACAACTTGCTACCTGTGTTTAGTAAACTCTGTGTACTTAGTTAGCACATATAAATGAAGGTTTTTGACAGGAATTTTTTTTTTCACTACATTAGATTGAAATATTTTTGTTGAGATTGGTCTGTAAGTAGATGGGATGTGTCGGAGAATCTCGTAATTCTTTATCCTTTCGTTGGCTCTTTCCACATGAATACGTGCTTTAGCAATCTTGTAACACAGTGCTGCTTCTTGTTTGGTAAACTGGCCTCGTGTTGATAAAAAAGCTGGTATGTTTAAGCAGACACCCTGGGGCAACTGGTCATGAATGGTGAAACCTTTGTCGGCCAAAATTAGGTCTCCAGCTTTGAACTTACGTAAAACTTGGCTGTGACGTACAATAGCTACATCAGAAGTAGAACCTGGGTACAGCATGGAGCAAAATGTAAGTGCACCGTTTGGAGCCACGCAAGTCACTGCTTTAACAGTATGGCGACTTTTATATGTACTGTAGGCCATGGCCTGATTGTCCATATGTGTAGGGATATCCTGGGTTGTTTCAATTGCATCCATGGATGCTCTAGCAGAGGAAAAATCCTCAAAAGATTTTGGCAGAGACCCTGAAAAAAAATTGGAAAAAAATTAATTTGATAATTTGTAATTGTGTTAAAAAAATCGTGTTACAGTCAAACTTTTAAGAATACAATAAATTTAACTGCATAAAATCTTTGCAAGTCATTGTGATAAATTTTAAAACATACCTTTGCATTTAAGCTGACTTGGAAAACATTCATTGACTACGCCATCGGACAGCATCTTGTGTAGTGCATGAACAAGGGTATGAAAGATGTTCGAAACTGTTGGTCGACTGACACAGAATCTATGAGCCAAGTCAGTGTCCCGTAGATTGAGTTTTAACTTCATTAGTACAATGAGTAGTTGGTCCTCTGTTTTCATTGAAGGAGTCCAGCCATTATAATAAGTGAGTTCAAACCGCTGTAACAATCTGACTAAGATTTCGAATATGTCATACTGTAGGGATGTATACAAAAGCATCTGAAAATAAATTAGTTTTAATGCCGATTAAAATATTTCCCAAAACTGAAAAGATTGTAAATAAATTAGTTTCAAGTAAAAACAATATTTGTCACAGTCAGGTTTGCTACTATCCACATTATGCGTTTATTTAAAACTGGTGAAATGAGTTCTGATAATTGTTATCATAGAGTAATACATGGTTTATAGAGAGAAGGATTTAGATATTATTCAGCCAAGGAGCAAATGAAATGATTTTTCTCTGTCTTTTCAAATTGTATATTATGAATTCAACGATACATGTAATAACAAAATATGTTAAAGGTACTTGGACACAGATTTGAAGTTATAATTTTCTCATTTTTTCTGTATAATATCACGAATTATATATTTTAATAGCATTTCACACAAAAATTAATTAAAAATCTTATTTCATTTAAAAGTTATTAAAACTTTAATTTTTTTTGGAGGGTTTGATTGACACATCCTTGCACTTTCACAAAATTTTAACTTTATTCTTAATCCTTAGGAAAAGTGGCAATTTTGATGTGTTTTAATGAGAAATATTAAAACTTTTATCAAGAAAAATAATTTTATTCAGAGTAGAAATGTTAGAAAGCAAAACACCTTCATAAGTACCGTCATTCCGAACTAAGAGATGCGTACAGAGTTTAGCAAATCGAGCACACTCGTGTTATGTACACAGTTTTTGTAAACAGGGCTCCAGTTCTGTTATTGTTTATATTTAGAATTCATCGGGTGCGTTCAATCGTCACAGTCTGCTTACCACAACTGCATGGACTGACAATATATTGTGTTTGTTTTTGCTTTTGAACGTGTCTACTCTGAATTTTCTAGATTATAGTATTAATATTTTTCATTTATACAAAACGACATTGCCACTTTTCCTAAGGATTAAGAATAAAATTAAATTTGTGAGAGTGCAAGGATATGTCAATCAAACCCGCCAAAAATTTGAAATTTCAATATCTTTTTAACGAAAAAGATTTTTAATTAATTTTTATGTTAAATACTATTATAATATATAAGTCGTAATATTATAGAGAAAATAATAACTTCAAATCTGTGTCCAAGTACCTTTAACATAACAGTCAATCCGAAGTGTTCATCCCTCAACAGCAACAAGTTTACTGAAATTCTTAGGAAAAAGGAAATCACAATTGGAATTCCTTTAAATGTCCCTTCTCTTCATTGTCTTTTATATCGTGAATTGACATCGGCTTCCTTTTACTAGACTCTATTTTTAGGGCAAGCAATTCCTCTTCCAGTTGCTGTATTTCTGTTGAGAGGCGCTGCATTTCTTGAGTACAGTTAAATGTGCAGGATGCTGAGTAGTTGTGCTCTGCTATCAACTGAAAATATATTGTAAATCATGAGTAATTCGATGTACAGTTAAAAGAACTGTTATATTATTAAAAATTAATGAAAATGTTTCAGTGTTGGCCATTTGTTATCAATGGTGTTTTAAATGAGCTTTACTTTTTCTTGATCTTGACAATTTGGTGCTTGAGGAATCTGTAACTGGTCTATCTGTGAAGATGACAGGGACTCCTCACGTTTGAGTTTTTTCCTCCTTTGTAAAATAATTAAACTTGAATTATTTTTTATTCATTTGTGAGCTACTCTGTTTATACATGTACCCTTTAAAAGATTTTTTGTAAAATATTCTCAATCAAACCTTTAACACCCACCATCCAAAAACAAGATATCATATTTTGAAAAATAATTGAACCTTTTTGTGCATTCAGGATCGGAGAAATCCATAGCCTTTCCCTCATTCCATGCAAAATATGCAGGGTCCCCCTCTTTCTTACCATCCTTAAAGTGGCAGGAGCAGATCCTATCATTCTGATCTCCTGGTTGGCGATCAGCTCGTCTAAAAATATTTTATACAAAGACTGAGTGAAGCAGAATTAAAAGTCAAAACAATTTAACATGTTCATTTGGTATGTTATTATCAAATCATAGCCCAAATGACTTATTTTTTCCATTCTTTTTTTTTCATATGTTACATTTACTTGCAAGTACAAGATAACCATCTGCATAACATTAACAAACGGTAGTTGTACTTGGTGGTAATAATACGAAATAAAATATAATAAAACAGCTGTTAAACGAAAAATATTGTTGCTACAAATTGCACAGTTTTGGTAGTATATACTCTTCATTCTTCTTCTGCTATATTGATTACGACGAGATTTAACTTTTTAGCATGTATGTTTAAATATCTGACAATGCAGCATCGTGACATATCGTTACAAGTACCTACAAATTTCGTCAACATTTCTACGTTTACCGAGTCTTTTCCTAGCAGGCCGAAATATCTCCAATCATGTCACGATGGTAAACACTCGTGCATCTCGTAATTAATGCTGTAATAAAAAAACTGACTGTGTTTTTGTAGCGGGAGCAGCAATTGAAAACAAGATGTTTCACTGTGATGATGTTTATTACAGTTGCATAAATACCAAATGCATCATCATAAAGCAGATTCTGCAAAATAATATAAAATACATTTACTCAAGTTGATATCACATATAACAGCAGAATCTATTATCATCATAAAATCAAATAATTACTATATATTTAATTAGATTATAAAATATTAAATATTGACACATATCAATGAGTTATACCTCTTGACTTTAAATATACAACTGATATTTCTCTTATTCACTTCATAATAGTGGATATAATAACTATTTACAATTATATACTTGCTTTATATACATATATAGCAACATACCAGACTATGGGTATGAATCCCTCTCTAATACTGTATATTGCATGATTGTGTGTATGGCTTATGGATTATCAATATCTACAATTCATAAATAATATCCATACACTATATATCCTTTTGTGTCATAAAATACATTTATTACAAAGTTTAAAATCAACTAGTTTATCAGCTTTTGACAAACTTAAATAATTTAATAAATCTCTCATATGCCTCTTTCATTCAGTTAATTAATAGGAAAATATTGATATGAAATAGGAATGTCAAAAAGTCAACTTACTGTCAGTGGTCTTAAAGATTTCTCCAAAAATACAAAAACACAACTATACACTTTGACTGCTCCTGGGCTAGTAATTAGCTGGACACACTGGACAAAGGGGGTCAAAGGTTTTGGCGGGAAATTATTGACCAATGGCTATTTTTACTTATGTATTTATTCAAGGTTAAAAGTTAAGTTTAAAGTTTAGGGCTCTAGAGATTTCTAGACTTTAATTAGAGTAATTTGTTACAAGTTTATTTACATGTTTAATGTTTAAATAAAACATATTTATTTTAAATCAAGTTTATTATTGAAAGTTATTTTATAACTTTCAATGGCATCTGAAAGAAAAATACAATAAATTAAAATCAATATAAAATCAATACTATCACACACTTCCCCTCCTTTTAAATGACGTCCTCGTCATCTCATCTCTATAGAAGTGTGAACGAATAATCTAAAATTAAAAATAAAATCAAAGTGAATTATAAGTCATAAAAAATCATTTCTGCAACAGGATTTCAAGGAAAGTAGAGGACAGCTGCTTCTGGTCTACACCGGAGAGATGGTTATCTGAAACAAGAGATTTTAAATAATTACATTTTAATATCCAATCTGGATCTTTAGCAGGTTGTACGGACATGGAGTATTCTCCTGTCTTCATCCAAGCAGGTTTAGTCCTCGCTCTTACTGGTCTTGTTGGCTTTTCAGGTTCTTTGGGCAAATCTGCTGTCTGGATACCTGCAGCTTGATTTTCAGTTTCAGTTTCTTCTTGAGTGGCAGCTTCTGCATTTTCATCATCAGCCTGTTGTTCTGCAACAACTTCAGCTTCTTCAACTGCTTCTTCAACATGTGAATCCTCATCTTGCAGAGAAAGACTTTCAGTCTCTGGCTCACAATTCTGGGAAGCATCAGATGTGTTGCTCTTTTCTTCAAGAGTGAGAGCGTCCTCTCCCGCATCTGTGTCTTCATCTGTTGGTTCAGTCCAGCCAGCTGGGATCTGACCGTCGTCAGTCTGATCTGTACCAACACTTAAAGGAATACTATTTCATTCAACACGGTTTGGTGGACGTGGACCGGTCCATATGATTTCTTCGTCACTGCTGTCACTTTTGTCTTTTGTATCCGGTGTATTTCTCTTCGCCTTTCTTGGTAATCTCTTTCTGGGTCTAGGAGTAGGTCTTATAACTCGTGGTTCTGTTGGTTGGAAATCCAAATTTCCAATAGGCAAGAGAAGGTTTCTATGTACTGTTCTTTGTCTGCCAGAACCTTCTTCTTTTACGACATAAACTGGAATGGTGGAATTTGGTTGATCTTTAATAGTGTATGGTGTTGATTCCCACTTGTCAGCTAGTTTATGCTTTCCATCAAAGCTTGTAATCTTTACCAAAACTCTGTCACCTTTTTCTAGAATAGCTGATCTAACTTTCAAATCGAGGTTACGCTTCTGTCTTTCTTGAGCTCTTTGGTTTGCTGCTGTGGCTAATTGATAAGCTTCTTTTAATCTGGACTTTAATGATTCAACATATTTTGGAATTGGCATTTCTGAAGAAGATGTTGGTATGTTAAAAGCAATATCTATTGGAAGTCTTGGTTGTCTACCAAACATTAAGAAAAATGGTGAATGTTGAGTTGATTCTTGCTTCATACAATTGTAGGCATGAACTAATGGTCCAATATGGGATTTCCAATCTTTCTTTTGGTCAATGTTCAAAGTTCCTAACATCTGAAGAAGTGTCCTGTTGAACCTTTCACAGAGTCCATTACCCATCGGGTGGTAAGGTGTAGTTCTGGACTTCTGGATGTTCATGATATTACACAGTTCTTCAATAACTTTTCCTTCAAACTGGGCTCCTTGATCACTATGGATTTTCTGCGGAATTCCGTAATGAACGATGAACTGGTTAAATAATACATCTGCGGTGGTCTTAGCAGTTTGGTTCTTGGTAGGAATTGCTTGGGCATACTTGGTGAAGTGATCTGTCATTACTAGAATGTTTTGAAAATTACCCTTGGAAGATTCTAAAGTCAAATAATCTATACACAGTAGCTCAAGGGGTTGGGAAGTTGTAATATTTATCAAAGGAGCTTTCTCTGTTTGAGCTTTTCGTAGAATGCATCTGTTGCATGACTTAATGTAACGTTCAATGTCCTTAGTCATTCCATGCCAGTAGAATTTATCTTGAATAATGGCTGTTGTTTTCTCTCTACCAGGATGCCCCATATCTGTATGTAAAAATTTGAAAACTGCTTTCCTACAAGAGAGTGGTAAAACAATTTGATGTTTCATGGATTCGCCATTTCTTGTTTTTCTGAAAAGAATTCCATCATTAATATAAAATTTATCAAAATTTCTGAGCATAGCTAAATGAAATGCAATGTTGCTGCTGGGGAGGTTCTCTTTCCTGGGAGGTATTCCTGTTTTGACCTGAGAAAACCAAAAACGAATATCTTGGTCTTTACACTGTTCTCTTTTGATGTTGAAATCTGAAAATTTTGAAAGTTCTGATTGAATTAGGTTATCAGTAATATCTGGTGAAATAGACAAACATTCAATAAATGGTACATTGGCATGATGAACATTACAAATACTTTTAATTGTTTCAACAGAAATCTGTTCTCTGTCACGAACATCTGAAATTTCAGGCAATCGTGAAAGTCCATCTGCATCTGCGTTGCTTTTACCAGGGCGGTAAAAAATATTAAAGTCATAGGTGGCTAAAGAAGCAATCCATCGTTGAGAAGTAGCATCCAACTTTGCAGTAGATAAGACGTATGTCAATGGGTTGTTGTCAGTTATTACATCAAAAGTTGTTCCATACAAGTAATCTGAAAATTTTTCTGAAATTGACCATTTAAGAGCTAAAAATTCAAGTTTATGGATAGGATAATTTTTTTCAGATTTGGAAAGACCTCTGCTTGCGTAAGCAATGACACGTTTCTGTCCGTTCTGCAGCTGGTACAACACAGCGCCTAATCCTTTCTGGGATGCATCTGTGTGGATCTCAAATGGTTGACCATACATGGGAAAACCTAAAATTGGAAAATGAATTAATTTTTTAATTTCTGAAAGGAAATGTCTTGTTCTTTTTCCCAGTGCCAGTTTGGTGGTGATGTATTTGCAGCTTTGGAATTTCTCCTGATCTTCTTTGAGGTATCTGGAATTAAATTGGTGAGAGGTTTAGCTATTTTTGAAAAATCTTTAATAAATTTCCTATAATACCCAACAAAGCCTAAAAATTGTCGAACCTGATCTGGATTGATAGGTGTTGGCCAGTCTTTAACTTTCTGGATCTTTTCTGGGTCAGGTTCAATTCCATTTTCTGAGACGATATGTCCTACATACTTGACTTTTTTCTTGCAGAATTCACATTTCTTAGGAGATAATTTCAAGTTGATCTGTCTTAATCTCTGAAATATCTGCTCTAGTCTTTCAAGATGCTCTTCAAACGTGTTGGAAAAAATAATGATGTCATCCAGATAGATGTAGCAAATCTTGAGATGTAATCCGTCAAATGCTTCCTCCATGAGTCTTTGGTAAGTTGCCGGAGCATTGCATAAACCAAATGGCATCCGGTTAAACTCGTAAAAGCCAAGGGGACCAACGGTGAACGCTGTCCGCTCCTTGTGTTTCTCAAAGACCTCTATCTGGTGATAGCCACTCTTCATATCTAGGATTGTAAAGAACTTATTATTAGAGAGAGCTTCTAAGATTTCATCAGTCCTTGGTAAGGCATAGGAATCCTTTTTAGTTCTGTTATTTAGTTCTCTGTAGTCAATGCACATTCTTAAAGTCTTATCTTTCTTTCTACACAGTACGACATTACTCGACCAAGGTGATTTTGATTTCCTAATAAGTCCTGCATCAATCAGACCTTGAAGATGGTTTTTGACTTCCATGTACATATTTGGTGGAATTTTTCTGGATTTTTGTTTGAAAGGTGTTTCGTCGATTAGTTCTATTTTATGTTGGACTAGCGTGGTATGTCCGATGTCTGTGTCTGATGAAGAAAATACATCTTGATACTTCTGGAGAAGATCAGTCAGGACTTGTCTCTCTGATGTTGTTGAGCTCTCATCTATGTGAAGTAACTTCAAGTTGTCATTAGAGTTGTCTCCCTTAGATTGTGTGATTTCTTCTATGTTGACAGGGTGTAATTCACACAATATGGCCTTTGGAGATATGGTGACTGTTCTTGTTGTAATATTGTCGATTTGTACGGGAATCAGTTTGTCACATGGATATTGGTAGTTAACTACAGATGGTACTATGTCTAAGTCCACAGGAATTCTAGACCTTGGTGTTGCTTGTAAAAGTGCACAAGTTGCATGATAAGGTACTGCTTTGTCAACATAACCTTGTAATGTGACCGAAGAATTTGGTTTAATAGTAACACTGTTCTTGTGTACCGATTTCACAACGCCGAGTCTGTTACTGTTCCTCTGTAATTCCTTTTCTCGGAGTAGCAATGATCTTAAAGTCAGGTACCATGGTAAATGTAAGTCTGTTTCTTGCAAGCACCTACTACCAAATGTTTCCTGCAAATCATTAAGTACATGTTGCAAAATATTTGTACCGAGAAGAATAGGAACTTCTTGATAGCGGGAGCAGCAATTGAAAACAAGATGTTTCACTGTGATGATGTTTATTACAGTTGCATAAATACCAAATGCATCATCATAAAGCAGATTCTGCAAAATAATATAAAATACATTTACTCAAGTTGATATCACATATAACAGCAGAATCTATTATCATCATAAAATCAAATAATTACTATATATTTAATTAGATTATAAAATATTAAATATTGACACATATCAATGAGTTATACCTCTTGACTTTATACAAATGATATTTCTCTTATTCACTTCATAATAGTGGATATAATGACTATTTACAATTATTTACTTGCTTTATGTACATATAGCAACATACCAGACTATGGGTATGAATCCCTCTCTAATACTGTATATTGCATGATTGTGTGTATGGCTTATGGATTATCAATATCTACAATTCATAAATAATATCCATACACTATATATCCTTTTGTGTCATAAAATACATTTATTACAAAGTTTAAAATCAACTAGTTTATCAGCTTTTGACAAACTTAAATAATTTAATAAATCTCTCATATGCCTCTTTCATTCAGTTAATTAATAGGAAAATATTAATATGAAATAGGAATGTCAAAAAGTCAACTTACTGTCAGTGGTCTTAAAGATTTCTCCAAAAATACAAAAACACAACTATACACTTTGACTGCTCCTGGGCTAGTAATTAGCTGGACACACTGGACAAAGGGGGTCAAAGGTTTTGGCGGGAAATTATTGACCAATGGCTATTTTTACTTATGTATTTATTCAAGGTTAAAAGTTAAGTTTAAAGTTTAGGGCTCTAGAGATTTCTAGACTTTAATTAGAGTAATTTGTTACAAGTTTATTTACATGTTTAATGTTTAAATAAAACATATTTATTTTAAATCAAGTTTATTATTGAAAGTTATTTTATAACTTTCAATGGCATGTGAAAGAAAAATACAATAAATTAAAATCAATGTAAAATCAATACTATCACATTTTTTCTCACCTGCATAGTTTTCCCCACAACAATCGCTTCTTTCCGTCTGTGGGAAAGCGATAAAACTTGCAGCTGTTAGCCCCACTCCGATGGTTGCAAGCGAATGCGAAGCATATCACCATTTTTGTTTGTCACCGGAAGTAGTCAAATCTCGCGCGCTCTCGTTTACGAGCTTACAGTCCCTAAATCTTTTCGGCGTGCCCGAACAAAGCATGGAGGAGGGCTTGCAATATTTATGCTTTCATATATCCCAGTCAGGTGAAAGATATATCAATAGAGAAAAGAAGTGATATTTTGTATTTAAAAAAAATATATGTGTATATGTGCATACAGTACTCTATTATTTGTGTAAACACATCTTTCTGTTAATTCACGTGAGAATAGCGTCCTTTTATGTCAAATTAAAGGTTAAAGGAGATGTTAATTTTGATGTAATCATGGAATAGAACAAGGTGGAGGTCACTTACTTTGAAATGTAATATTTCTTTCAGATATATTGATAATTTTGTCAATTGCTTACAATTACATTGATTTTTTCAAATGTAACTAATTACGCTCCATTACATTGACAAATGTAACCAACTACATTTTAATTACTTCAATTTTATTTCACAAAAAATTTGATAGTCATATACAAGTATATACAGGCATTTAGTACTGAAATAGTATTTTACAGTTTTGAATTTTTTAAAATACATTCAATTGAAAGCAGGTTCAATAACTTTAAAATTTGTAATTAATAACACACAAAACAATTACTTTTTCAAGCCCTAAGATAGAGATTGAAGTATTTAACAGAATCATGTGACATATTTGATCTCTGTATCATTATTTAATGATTTTTGATAATTTGGCCAAGAATTAGATTCATTCTTTATCATTTAATTTTAAAATAATTAAATCAATTTAGATGTAAAATTGTTGCTTTTTATGAGTTCAAATTTTCCCGCGGAATAATACAACGGGAGTAATGGGAAACGAGGGGAGGTTGATGTAATAACTGATACATAGATCTAGTAGCCATGATTTTTCTTAAAATGATATACATGAAGATCGAGTAACTGTTTGGGGTTAAATGTACATTTATTAAATCTGGAACTTTCCAATGATTCCGAGGACTAGAATGAGAGGATTGCATGGATAAGATGATTCAGCAGGTCGTCAAGCGGATGTTTCCCCATACCAGACAAGATTACACTAATTAATTTGCGTTCCTTTTTGGAAATCAAACAATTAAGAGGCGAGAATACAAACAAAATTAAAGAGTCAGTAGAAATTATAGCTGATGGATGGCATAGAAATAACTGATAAATCATTTTTTAAAGACAAACTGGGGGTCTGGATGGTAAAACTACAGCGAATGGTCATAATTTATTAATTTACAATTCATTGCAATTAATTGCAATGAAAATTGAGTTGTAACTCAAAGTACTTTGCGTTTAATCACAATCTTTTGCGTTAAAACGAAATAATAAATCTGCGTTTAATCGATCGCAATAATTGTTGCAATTATAGGCGATATTTTTTCCCCGTTTAAACGCATTACTTTTGCAAATAAATGCAATAACTTTTGCATTTAATAGCATTAATATTGCATTTAATCGCAATGATTTATTGTATTTAATCGCATTTGTTGCGTTAAGTCGCAATATTTTTTTGACATTTAAATGCAAAGATTAATAAGAAATACTATGGTCCAATTCTTCAAAGAGGAGCTGTTTGGTTCTGTTTTTTTTTTCATGTTGCAGTTTGTGAGATTTGATGTTTAACAATGGCATTTTAACAACCAGATCTAGAAAGGTATTAGAGCGCAACACTTTTAACGCAGCCAGTAATCAACTACTTGCCTGCTTGAACATATTTAATTGTTTAGACGTTACAACAAAAGAATTGGACACAGTTTCTGAAATCTTAGAACGTCCTCTCCTTTATAACAATTAATTACACAAAGTATTGTTCAAAAATTAATTTACATTAGAACCAAAGGTCAAGATTTTCTAACATAGGTAATGCATGTACAAAATTTAAATTGATTTAGCATGTGCAAATGAATCTACATATTCAAAAATGACATGATCTCTTGATAAACAAATTCACATTCAAAAATAAACTTTCAGTTTCAGAAATACTTATCGAATTATCTCCTCATAACAGAACATGAGTGTCTACAATACGTAAATTAATTATTTTAAAAATAGCATTGAACAGGTCGTTTCTTGGGGCAGTGTATTTCGCCCAAGTGAAAAAGAAATGATATACGTCTTCTATTTTTCCACAAGTGCATAATTACTTATTCAAAAATAATATCAAAAAATAAAACAACTTATTAAGCATGTTAAGTCTTTCTTTGGAACACAGTTATGTCTTAACTAGTATGAATCACACTCAAGTTACAATCATCAAAAATAAAGGACGTGGTGGGTGTTCTCTGAGAGTTTACACAATTTTTTAAGGAACCAATAGTAGTGGATTGTCTTGTTTCAAGAGGTAAAGAATTCCATTCCCTTATTGCCATTGTTACAAATGATGATTTCCATATATTTAATCTACACTTAGGTATGCAATAATTTTGCGACTGTCTTGTTACGTAATTTGATTCGTATGATCGAATATTTTCGTAGACAACAAGAAGAATTTTGTATCAGAAACTAGGGACAGATTTTCCCTATGGATGTTATGACAATGTCCATAGTGTTGTAAATCTTTCTAGTCCACAGTGTAATAATGTACATGTGATGGGACTTTTATTCCATACACAGAGACATAAGCGTATTCATGGGCATCGGTCGTGCAATAAACCTGCTATACAAGACGTCTCTTTTGATTCATTACTACGTTATGTAAATCAGCAGTTAGGTCTACTTCTTATTCGCCCCAAACTTTACTCTGTACGTTTGAAACTTTTAAAAAGTTATTCTTGAAAAGTTTAAGGATAGTCCCATTTTTGATTCCTCGACACAAGAATATAGGCACGGATCTGTGATTATGGATATTGCATATCATAGGCTTTTTTACCCGCATTTTTGAGACAGAAAATGCAGCTAAAACAGTCGGTTTTTTCCTTGGACTTTAATATGCCTGTTAAGGAATTGACGCAGTTAATATAAAGTAATATTTTTTATCACAAAAGGGTCCAGTCTTGTATCCCACAATATTTTAAAGCTATATATGCTGTATAAGTGTTTTATTTTAAAAAGTATAAATATATGTGGTGTCTCATCAAGTTACATAAGTTATATACTTCCTGCAAATAAGACAATTCCCCTCCACCACTTTTAAAAGTTCTGAAATATTCTTTGGTAAAAATCATTTTCTCTCCGTGTCGGATAAAAAACCGCCTCTTATTGAAGTATTCATGATCATGTTGTCTCACATGTTTACAGCAAACAATGGTCCAATCTCGTGAATGAACCGAAAAGCATGATGGTCTACTACAATGTTACTACAAACACGTGAGTTAAGGATTGTCAATATTGAGATCTCAGAGTTGATTACTTTTTGTACTGAGGAATAATCACGTGCTATTGTCTTTTCAAAGGACATTCTCGGTGGGGCGAACTTCTGCAGATGTCAGCGAATATGGATAAGGAAGTGTGGAAACCATGTTGTGCTAAAATGAAATAACTAATACAAACAAATGATATAATTTGACCAATCGAAATGGTTATTACATGTAGATACATTCGATTCTGCATTTCTTAATGGTTCAAAACAACAAAATATCATGTACAATATACCGAATTCCAAACCAGAATACAACTAAATAATATAAATATATTCTTAACATATGAACCACAGTATTTCTGACCCCTTGAAAATAATATAAAAAATCTTGCAAGTAGGTTATCAGCATAGGCTCGGGTTAATTCGAAAGTGAAATTTGAAGTTTGGCAGTAATTATTGAAGTAAATGAATAAAATTAAGTCATGTTTAGTAGAGAAAGATATTGGAACCTATTTTACTTGTCAGATTTCTTCGAGCTAGTTGATTTTTATTTTAACTGTTCTATCTCCCAACCCTTCGGATGAGACCGTATAAGAGTCATTATCAAAAACCGCAGAAAAAAACATTGGAAAAATCAACAAATTTCTTGCATTTAGAATTAACTTTTTTATTGTTACTGTAGAACACAAAAACACTAAACTCCCACCTGGAAATTATTTGATTTCAGAGTAAGAAGAAATCAAAATACTGGTTCACCTAAAATTTTGTCCTTCCTGTTACAGACACAATAATGCAAGTTTTACTATTAAGAGGCGGAAAAATAATTATAAAATTAGTTAAGCCTAGTTTGTGAAAGCATGGCAAATAAAAAATCAAGTATAATTTTTCACTGAAACTGGAGCGAAATAATTTTTTCAATTATTTTAAAAACAATTTTCAAATCTGAACTCATTTTGGTCAATATTTTCACCATTTTACAGTCGTAAAAGTTAGCATAAAAAACACATTCACACATTTGATAAGAAATGGCATTTTATGCATGCATGTAGATCCAATCTTGTTACAATTACATATAAACCACATATTTTCATAATTATAGTGCATGTAACATTAAGAACAGGCCCGTAACAGGAAAGACTGTACTTTGCAATAGACATGGTTCTCCTGTAACAGAATCCTAAATTCTAGTTTAGAAATGATTGGAAAGTAAATATTGAATCAGTTTCCGTCTGAAATCTGTTAATATACATGTATTATAAAGATATAGAGTAACTAAAGCAATTCCAGAAAAATATGACTTTGAAAGGTTTTTTGGTTTCTCAGTTAAAAAGTGTAACAGGAAAGAACAGAACATGCAACAGGAGAAATGTCTGTGAATCTACATCAAAATCTTTTTTTGTTAAACACATAATTTAATTAATCCCGAAAATTTACGCTGATGTTCCCAAATAATGATTAAACTTTACGTTAAAGTTAAGATAGGAACAAAAAGAGTATGAAAATAATGAATATGTATGACTGTTTCAGGAGAGACTTTTCCAAAATACACAGTATTGTAATAGTACAAAACAATGTTACATGTTAATTAGATAATAACATAGAATAATTGCTGAATTACAAGTAAAATGTAAAATAAAATAGGATTTGCATTAAGAAAATTGCTTGCCTATGCAAATATTGGCGTGTACAACGTAAAGGAAGGACACCGAAAGACACTAGAGTCTGAAAAAAATATTTA